TATAATAATAAATATATAATGTTACATGTGTATATGACATATTTTAATAACAACAAAGTGTCTTTTTCAAGCCTCACTTCAATATTTACAAACAGCAGTGACACCTTCGCCCATGGCCACTCAATCTGTGGCTTCCATATGTTAAAAAAAATGTATTGGATTTGACATAGTTTGGGTGAAGTCCTGACTTTATCCTCATCCTTATTGGTTTAAAAGCAGTTTTTTTTTTAAATTTTTAATGACAAAACGTTTCCATTTAAATATCCAGTCAGCTAAAACACAAATAAACTAAAATAAACTTTTTTTAACGTTTCTAAACACTAAACAAGACAACTACTACTATACCGATTAGTATTAATTAAAAAAAAAAAAAAAACAGTGGCACGTTTTAGGTCTGGGTCCGGTCCAGGTCCAGGTCTGGGATGTATCTGTTTCATGAGGCAAGTAGGTGATACGTCTTTTGCTTTGATTGGGTCTAATGCAGGCATTACGATGTTCTTAAATCAATGACAAGGCCCCTGAATAAAGAAAGACTCAACAGTGGACTTATATTTTATTTAAAGAAATTGAACTATAATTCAATTGATCATAAATGATTTGTTATCAAGGCCAATTTAGGGTTCTATATTTTTATAGATATTTATATAACATTAAGGTTTTGGATAAAAACATTTTTCTGTTTTACACAAGTACATTGTATATATGAAATACTATAATTAGCTACTTATTTTATCTTTCATAACTATTATTTTTTATAAACTAATTAAGTATATTTAATTATTTAATAAATAAATAAAATATTATTAATTAGCTCTATGACAGGCTGAATTTGAATTAGATTTTATTATCTTTTAAGTTTGAGTTACTTAAACTTACAATTAAAGTGTGTAGAAAGTTTAATTGTATCATAAAATTAAATATGAAATTTATTATATTGCTCTTTTATAACGCTACATTTGAATTTCTGCTCAGCTAAATTACGTTCTTTTACAAACTGACAGTATGACGGGTAGGTGTGTGAAATTAAACATGTAACATTATATTGTTTCTAAGCATTAAATAAATAGCTGAATAATGTCTAATTAATATAACAATATTATTAGATACATAAATAAATGCACAATAATCTTAATGTAAGACATAAAAATTGTAATACATTTTTTATATTTTAAAGCATAGTTGTCCAACTGTACTCAAAATAGATTTGTTGTCTTTGCTTAATATCTCATCTCAACGATGAATCTGTTACACTGGTATAATTGACTGAGACTGGTCATTCTCTTCCTCGTTTTTGACTCCTATCGTTGATGGTTATCTGTTTAAATTGTAAATAGTGATCTAAGTTAGTTTACATTATAATATTGCTTAGCAATTTAGCTATAGTAAGGATTAGGAAAAAACAAAACACATCTGCAAACATCACTTAAAATCTATCTTATATTTAAGTAGTTTGATTTATGTGGACCTGGAAAGAGTGCAACTTGTTAGCGACTTACTGCTCAGTTTCTTGGAACTTGAATTCCACGACTTATTTCGCGATATGGTGACTACACGAGTAACGAAGCGACGACCTACAATAAATATTGCACTAACAAAATGGCGGGGATGGAGCGGCTAAAATCTACCAAAAACTATCTCTCAAAACAATCAGACAAAACGAGTAGCAGAACTTACAAATGGGCCTCTTTAAGAAGGCCTTTACCCAAAATGAGGTCCTTGCCAACAGGAACTATATAAAAATAAGAAATAGAATATATGTAGAATAATATTGATAATAATAGGATAGGATTAATCACTAGATAACATTAGATAAAGATTAATTAAGGTAAAAACATACAGTATTACATATGAAGTAATTAAGAGCATTAAACAAGATCTGTTTCCATAAATTTAACCCGTATAATTAGTCTAGAAACAAAATATGTATTTTTGGTTTTGTATCATCATGGTTTCTTTTTACCATCTAAATTTTTTTACTATCAAACAGACGAAACAAACGCCAGCATTAATCAGAAAATACCAGTATATCATAATTAATTTCAAGAATATTCATTCACTGAATTAAAATATAATTATAATGGATTTTTAATGTAAAACTCTTTATAAATATTTCTTTTCTATGAGGCTTGAAAAATACACTTTGTTGTAATTTAAAAAAAAATCCGAATGTGATTTTTGCAAAATTAGATCATTATATTTTATTTCCACTCTTATATTAATCAAATAACTTTTTAAATTTCGTCAGTTACTTAATTATGAAAAACTTTTCCTTCCATGCCGTTTTTGAGAAACTGCATGAAAATTCATGTCATGAATTTATTTACAAAATATAGAATGCCATTAATCTAAAAATACAAATTGGATAAATAAATGAAAAGGTGAAAATAAATAAAATATAGTTTAAAATGAACTTTTAATTACAGCGCCATCTAACGAGGGCCGATCAAAGCTGACGAGCTCGGTAGAATTATTGTGCTTTAGACTAAGCAAAACAAATGTTTTAACTATTAAATAGAATTATGAATGAAGATGGCGTTTAATACAGTGAGCGTGTTAATAAAAGAAATTGATTTATTTTCTCTTTAATAGTTTAAAGTTCTCGCCCATATTTTTAAATCTCTACAAGTCGTACCTACTTTGATATTTTTAAAAAATATTTACCAAACCTGTTTTTTTAAGTTGTATCTGTGTTGTGTTTAATAGAGTATCTTAAGTAATAATTTAAAATGACATTTTCGCTTTGAAAATCTATTTCTATTTTAAAGTTTAGTTTAAACAAATGGATTGAAAGAACCAACCAATATGAACAAAACCAAACTAAAATCTACAAATAAACATGCAAAAATAATAGAAACATATTCTTGATGGAAAAATGTCATTGGTTTATCATTAAAATTACCTTCGCTTTTCTTATTAATTTACAAAGTCATTGCTAAGTAAGTACTATACCGAATGGCAAGAAAACAAGCAAACGGTTTTTCGTAGGCAGTTTTCAGATCGGGCCGTTTTTAAAGTTTAAAGTAAGCATATATAACAAAAATTAAAAAAAAATTGATGTGGTTTTTTTATATTTTGTTCTGTAATTAGTGCTGCTTATTTATGAAATGCCCGTTTTAATAGGCATTTGAAAAGGGTAAAATTCTCCTCTTCGCCTCGTGTCATAGGTGACACTGGAATAATCCTAATGATTGATAGTTCTTGTTATTGAAACATAAGAATTGTAACTGAAAACTGGATTACGACACCAAAAAGCACTGAGATCTAAATTGATTGAGTTCCGTGGTTAAGGTTCTATCATATAGATAAGTTTAATCAGTTTAATCAACTAGATATAGTTCACAATAATATTATACTTAATTTATATAAAATTTACTACGTGTTGCGCCCCAAAGAAGAGGTTTTATCTCTTATAATATACATTAATTGGACAACATATCAATATAAATCAAATTATTAGTTCAAGTTCGTAATGCGAAGTTTCAAAAATTGTCCGGCGAACCCATTTAGACTAAACCCATGATGTTACTGTAACAATTAATATTTCCTATTCTTAACGTAGAGCTGGTACATATTATGTGCAGTTCGGAGGCCATTGAGCGCAAAGTACCGCACCCCGGTCCTCTGCAGTCAACTTGCGGATTCCGCAGTACCTTATGTAATGAAATCACTTACACGTACGTACAACACCTCGTGAAATATTATATGTATATCTTTTTTCTACACGTTTACCGTCGTAGGTATGTTAATGTCCACACTAAATTATCAGTATTAAATCGATTCAGAAAACATATACTTTTAATAATTTAGAAATTTGAAAAACAAGTGTCAATATTTTATTTATATATAAAATTCTCGTGTCACAATGTTAGTCTGCATACTCCTCCGAAACGGCTTGACCGATTCCTCTGAAATTTGGTAAGCATATTGGGTAGGTCTGAGAATCGGCTAACATCTATTTTTCACACCCCTAAATAATAAGGGTGGTCCACCCCTCAATTTTTTTTTTTCATTTTTTTGACAAAAATTTTTTTTTTATTTTTTTATGATACGATATTCAAAAATACATACAACCCTAAGTTTTTGCCCTTCTATCACCAACCCCTATTTTTTATTATAAATGATATACGAGTACATGGCAAAACGACGTTTGCCGGATCAGCTAGTTTATATATAAAATATTATCTTTTTTTCAAATTCCACTTAAAGTAGGTAGGTTGTTGTGCATAAGCCGCAGTATCATATCTGATTGATGAACGTAAGATGATGACTGATCTTATTAAAATAAGTAATATTATTGAAACAGAGCACCACCACCACCACCGCTAAACCTTTGTTTATGTTTGGCACTTGATATATCTACCAAATCCTTGTGTTATGTATGTCGCATTCGTCGTTTACTATTTGCTCGCTGGTACTAAGAATTCGGTGCCCCTACGCACTAATAGGGTGTGATATCACAAGTTGGAATAAAAAAAAGAAAATATAACGAATACGTCCAAGATTACATAACAGTTTCATACCGCCCCGTTTTACTATTTATAGCATAATATTATGTAAACGTTAGCTTATAGGTTAGGCTTATAGATTCTTTTTTTAATCTTATTATTAAAATATATAAAAACTGAATCTCATTACTCTAATTACTAGGGCATCTGTATTTTATTGAAAGGACCTTCGACAAGGTTGGACCAATTAGTATTTTAATGTAAGGAATTATAATAAATGTACTTTCGGGAAGTGAATGCAACAAATGGCCTATGAACTAGTTTGAGAAGAGTCGGTGCAGATGTAGCAATGTCTATATAGGCATGTTTATATACATGAAAAGCTGGCCTATATTGCCGCCCTAGAAAGAAACGTCAGAGCAGCGCCGCGGCGTTTTCCGGAACTAACGATACAGATTAAAAAATCAGTATCGCCATAATTGCGCGCGCATTTATCGACCAGGGTGATAAGGCTCAGTCAAGATCCGGCTAACGCGCGGGTCGGACGTATGCTGTATGGGTGAAATTCAGTACCCCGGCGCGCACGGCGTCGGCGACGATGACCGGCAGTACCGGGCGCCCTTTCGTCGCGCCCCACAATACAGATGGCCCACGCCCCAGGTGGCGCAGCCCTCGGCCTTCGCCCCGTGGAGGAGAGCGCCGGCGCCCCCGCGACCGGACTATCGGCGGAGCGCCTCGTATCCCGGGAAACCGGACGAACCGTTTCAGGTTTGTGAAAACATGTGATTTTCTGTGTGAAATCGGAGAAATTCAATGGAAAATGTATCATTCAGGTTGGTAACATTTTTCTTTCGAATATAAAGCTTTCGTTTCGAGTTTTACGTAAAGGCTTGAGCGTTTGTGAACAACCTTTTTTAGCGAAGAGTAAATCTGAAATGCAGATGCTTTTTGCAGATCAGGCATAGGACTGTTACATAGGACGGTCTTTTTCATTTTTTATTACTAAATCAGGGAGGTGACGCCGACGTGGCGTTAAAAATTTTTTTTTGTATATCTCAAACATATAATTTTTCAGGCTCACGGTTAGTACATTTTGGTTTTAATTGGTTCAACTACCACTCTAAGAATCTACTATAGATTAAGAAAAATGCCAAAAGATTTGTGAAGTGTTAGCGGAATTGCAAAATTAAATAAAAATAATAATATAAAACATACAATTTAAACTGTGTATATACAACGCAAGCGCAAATTAAAACATTCTTAGTCAACAATTCAATTCGTTAAGCAAACAGTTTTCGATAGTTTTTGTAGGAAATGTCTTTTGTTTGTATAATGTCTTTAAGAAAATTCGTCGAAAGCAAACGATGTAAGTTCGTTGTAGTAACATATTTTTAGTTGAAATTGTTGATCGGACAACTCCAGTAGTGCTTCGATAGAACAACATGTTGTATTAAATTTTCTATTCTATGCTCTAATGAAAAACCATGATGAACCATTATACAATTTGTTCAACCTAACCTTGTGTAATACCTACCTGTCTCTTAAAAAGTAAAGATGTCGAAATGGTGTATGCTGATAACGACATGTTATCGCGATACTATCTCCTTAAGATAAATCTATAGATAGATAACGTTTAGCCTGAATTCTAAGGCTCAATGTGGAAATCTAAAAAGTAGTAAAGTTTGCTAGTGTGTACTTTGCAATTGAATCATAAATAGTCCGTAACGATGAATATAATTTTATAATATTTTATTGAGGGAAGTCGTCGTGGAAGAACTTTGTTTAAGAACTAAAAAAAGTGCGTGCGTACATAGTACACATGTCAAAAGTGAAACTTCTTTGGCAAACTCATTTTTATGTCTAGTTCATATTTATACAAATCTGAAACTTTAGATTTCCGAGACTTAGAGGGAAGGAAAAGGAAAGATAAGTTAGGAATTTAATGAATTTAGTTGTCATTAAAATATTAAAAGTGTCAAAAATTAAGGCAAATTATAAATTTAATTTATTTCTTCGATAATAAAATTTTAATTAACAATTCGTTATTTGAGATTTAAATATATTATTTTGCAAAAATCATAAAATACTAATATTTCATAAATTCTCTATACGAAATTTTAATTTTAAAAATAGAATTTCTATAAGGTAATTCGCCCTTCTCACTCTCTCTCTCTCTCTCTCAATGAGTCTCAATCGCTCTCTCCCTTTTCTTCGGCAAAAACGCTGCACATCTTCGTGACGTTCCGTAAAAATATTACCCTAAAGTAGTTTCACTTCAAAAAACCGGTCGCCATGAATTAGATTATATGAAAGTACTACGACAATAATTAAATACGAAATTACTTCTTAACATTAACGTTTAGCTACTAAACCAGCGTTTCATCGCTAATTTAATAATTAAATAATAAACCGAAATGGACCTCCCCATACTGAAGCATGTCCGAATGAATGTCTGAATGCAACGACAACCGCAACAGCACGTAACTCAAAACACTACATAATCGTTTGTTTAAAAATACAAAGACCGCATTGTTTTATGTTTGTTTACGAATTCGTTGCGACACCATAACAGGACACATTTTTTTATATATATTGCATAAACGGTACTGAAACCCACGAATACCACGGGATTGGACTTGCGAATGTCTCTTTCGTCGCGTTCTATCATGGGTTAGTCGCTTCAGCCCACATCATAAAATTAGCAGAATCTGACAGAACAATTTAAAATTAAATGTGTGAGATTATTTCTTATTACTTACCAAATGTTTTAAAATTTCTGCTCTTAGAAGCTAAAATACTTTTTCGCACTTCGATAAATAATAAAAAAAATATACATATTTATTAGTAAAGAAATATCCGAAGGTAGTTTTTTCATAACAATGAGAGTGACGTAGCAGTATTGATCGGCCGGAACTAGGTCAGCGGGTGGTAATGCGGGGAAAGCGACTGAAGCGCGGGCACTCTTTGGATGGGATGCCAAAATAAATACATCCCTTCTGTTACATAATATTAAGCAAAACGTATAACCAAACTTCCAATGAGATATGTGACAGGTCTCGATGTGACGTCTCGTGAAGGTGCTGAGGCATCCATTTACGTGATAAAATCGATTTGATTGAGTGATTAATTCAATTGTGAAGTTTTAATAAAATTACTCTTTTTACTTCTCTTTTGCCAAATACCAGTACATGCCAATGCTAACGAGATGTTAAAGAAAAGTTAGTATTCCGTCAAACTTAAATGGCTCCTAATAAATTAATATATAATATAATATAAGCACCAAATTATAACTTCTTGTGTCCATATTTTGTGAACCTGTGATAAGAGTGTGTCGACCTCACGAAATAATTGCTCGCTATCGGACATAAACTGATTTTGTGATAGTATTATATACGATTTACGGTTTATTTTATATTTATTTACTTCTTTATCTACTAATCGTGGATATTTAACAGCAGTAAAAATGTTCCTTAAAGTAAATGTTAATCTAAATATTACTATTTTTTACTTCAAATATAAACTCATATTCTTCAAACCGGATCACTAGTTATAATAACAAAGCACCGAGAGGTTTCCCTAGATATTCATTAAATACTTTTAAAAATTAATTTCAGTTTAATTGCATGTTAGGCTAAAGCCATAACGAACACTTAAGAATATTCCAACATTACACCCAATGGTGAGTGTTTGCAAAATGTGACTTCTCTTATCAGCGTTGTTAAATTCAAGGCTGTTTTGACGTCACGAACGTCACAGACGTGCTCCGGCCTATTCTCACACCGTGCATTAGAAAGGGACAGGTGAGCCCACTGAAGCGTGAAAAAATATTGTTTCGATTATGAAATGTTTTTATCCTTTTACGCGTTAGAAATGGAAACTAAAACGAGCAGTTTAAACTAAACTATTCTCGAATAGAAAGTTTCTGAAATAACACCTAAGTGTGAACCCCCAGTAGAGTGCACCATACGTGATATATTATGATGATACTTATAATAAAACCAAAAAAATGAGAAAGAAATGTTTTGGATGCACAACATTTTATCAAACTCAAGGAAACACATTTTTCTTCGAATGATTGATGTACTGATAACGACTGATAAGGAACACCAAAGTACGAAGAAGTGTGGGTATATACCTCACTCACTAATCTAGGTTATATGTTTCAACAGTTAACAACATTTTCTTAAAATAACGATGCTCAAAATAATAAAAATTACTTTTAGAAGGATAATACCTATTAGTTTTCCTTTTTTCTGACAATTTGTTGATTTCGGAAACGGAGCGAAGCTCGCTTGCTGTAATAGCGCCATACAATTTTCATTATCAATTTTCATATTCTGTTTACAGTTTAATTCAAATAAACTCGTATACAATTTATCGTAAACAGATATAAATGTTTTTGGTCATAAAAGTGCGTACGAACAATAAACATAACACACAGATCTGTCAGTCCGTCAGTTGTTGATTAGATAAGAGACCTGCACAACTAAATTGATAATAAATAGTACGGCGTCATACTACAAAATGTAGTATTCTTAAATCTCTTGATATTACTTTTATATCTCTGTTTAATTAATTAATGCTATTTCAAGTGGAACTCATCTGTATTAAAACTTATATACTAATGTACTTTATAAGTTTTTGTTTTGTTCACATATTGTTCATTTCTAATTGACCAATATAGAGGTGAATATACATTACTAACATCATGGATCTGCGTTGAATGAAATTAAATAAATAATTAATCACGTCCGAAAATGCAGCCACATGATCTTTATAACGAACCCGTAAATACATAAGTTTTATATAATGGTAAAGTTTATTTTTACCACTACGATTACAGTTTACATTAATTTGAATTTCAATGAATTATTTAAATCGGATATTTTGGGTCATATATTTTTTTATTCGTTTTTACCTACTACTATTAAAGTAATTCCACTTACTGCAATTTCTTGTGATTTATTCATGATAAGCTACAGATACTCAGGAAAACTTAGTTAATGTACCTTATTCTAATTAAATAAAACATAAAGTTTTAGCTAAACAAAAAACACTGTCGTAAAATAAAAGCTATGACGTAATGTTACGTATTTGCTAACTTAAAATATCAGGCGTTTTGTTTTTACGTAAGCACCGTAAAGGATTTGGGGATACCTTTAGTTAAAAAAATTATTAAAGTTCATCTATAGATAAGGGTACAGTATAGGTAGAGATAGTCAATATACATTGTTCCGCCCTTTGATTGAACCGAAAACCCAATACGATTTACCTGAACGAGGTTTTGAACTACTTAGATGATATTGTGGTTCTATGCAAATTCGCATTGCAGTTTTCTCTTGACCTTTTCAATATTTTTAAGATTTTAAATTAAATGTGCAATTAATTTTCGTCTTTATGCGGTGGTATTAGGGTACGGTTCACAATGGTATTGCGCATAGCGCATTGCCGTTGTGACGTCACACTGCGTAACAGAAATGGGTCAGTGGGTGGCTGATATACGTTGGGACCTGCGTCGCTGGTGCTCGAACCGACAGGGAGGTCTAATGAATTGGCTTACAAAATATAACCAAATTTGGGATCAGCCTACTTTAAAAATACCGTCTAATTGGGCTTTTATCCCAGTTCGAGAATTAAACGTCTATCATGTTTAGGGTTTTTTCTAAATACGAAGTAAATCGATTATGTATAGTTAGAATTGAAATGGAATTTTCTTTACGTCAAATAATGAATCCAGAAACATACAAAATATACGGTCGCGTTACATAGTCATAATAAGAGCAATCGAAACTTACAAGATTTATTGATCCTCAGAATAATTTAAATATGATTTTAAGTCGTAATTTTATTTTTTCAGGACAGAGGTGGTCTGGACAATATGAGGTCGTTGGAGCACTATCTCACCGACATAATGCGGGCTGATACCTCAGATCACATGAAAGGTACTAACTTATCTTGCTTCGGATATTACGCTAAATATCGCTGGTTTTCTCAAAACTAATGACTGTCAAAAAGATACGTATGTTCTGATTATTATTTGAAACTGAAACTATAGTCCGTCTCAAAGGATGCTTTTCTCGAAAATTATCAATTTTATACGGACGAGTATATGTGATTGAATGAAAAACAAACAACGACATATATTATACTCCTAGAATATTGCAAAATCAGGTTAATTTATAATGACGTTGATTAGAATCTAGGTTTTATTTGAGTCTAAACCTTGCTTATGGCCTAGACCTTTTGCAATTAATAAATATGAAAACACGTCTTTTTCACAGTAATGTCAAATTTATATTTAATGGCAACGCATATTTATTAAGAAATTATGTAAAATTAATCATTTATGTAATGCGCTTAACGTCAAGGTTTGAGGTTCGATTCTCGCTTGCGGCATATCGAATTATGAATAGGTATTGACAATTTAGAAGCTCACTGTAGTTTAATAACAATTCAATTCATTTGATTGTCTTTTTATGAATACAGTATAATAAGTATTTTAATATTAAATTACTTTTCATCAAAACCTAATTACGAACAAAGTCTCTGCCAAGGAATGTGGCGCCATCTTTATTAAAAGTGTATCGTATTATTGGTGTCGGTATAATTAGTATTTATTTATGTAAATACTAAAATCGACACTGTTTTCCCTGTCAACTACATTGCATTACGAATACGACGCCGGAATCCAAAGATATAATACTAGGAGGCATTATGCATTTTGAGCACGGTTTTTGACATTTATTAAAGTTAAATTACAGACTCAGCATTATTTCTATAAATCTTTTAGTTACGTATCTAATTACTGGTAACATAATTTAATTTGTGAAGGAATTAAATGCTAAAACTGCTAAAATTAGCAAGGGTAAGCAGATTCGTGCCCCCGTCTTGCACATTTCTTCATGTATACGCACTTCTAGTTGTATAAATCGTTGTCAGTTACGCAATACCACTTGTTGTTCGTCCTTGTACTGCTCTGTTCCACTGAAAACGTTTTGCAGGTGATCGTTATTCAATTAACGATGCCTTCTACGTCAAATTCTTGAAAATAATAGAGAACTAACTTACTGTGTCAGAGACACACGACACAAACGCAAGAAAAGAACTCTTCTCTAGCTAACTCTGATTTTAATACGAAATATCTGACATGTTGTATGATTTAATTAGACCACAATTTAAATATTAAAAACTAGCGAAAAAGCAACAAATCAAAAATATTTGATTGCGACCCTGTCATTTTTCTATAAAATTTATCAAAATATCTTTAGTCTTTAAGCCCAAAACTATTGAAGCTACAACTAATACACCAAAAATTGCAAGTATAAAAATGTATTGTATATTTATATAGTGTGACAATATTGTTAATTGTTATGGTTAGTACATTTTATACTCGGGTAAGGACATCAGAACAAATAACTCAATGAGAACAAACACTTTATTATTATGCAAAAACAAAAGCATCACCGCTTGACATTTTCGGTTTGGCTCCAGTTCACAGTTAAAAATAACAATCACCACAAACTATAGAGCGAAACGTCCCGTGATTTTACTAGTATATTTTCTTATAACCCTACCGATTTCAACATCAAGCTCTGAAACGAATCTATCTAATTATAGTAAACATTTGAATTTAGCCGCTTAAAAGTGTTTTACAATGCGGCTAAATTTATAGGTTGAGAGGATTATAGATAACCGAAGGTAAGCGGGTAGCTATGAAATGGTCGTATTATAGATAACAAAATGAATGTTTAGTGTTTGGCGGGAAAGTAAGCGCGCGCGTTGTGCGTATTTTCGTAATCGCTCGTTCTATTTTTAAATATTTTGGAGTACAGTGAACTTTTAAATCTATGTTTACGAGTGTGGAAATTTATTAGGTTTGACATTTTACTTTTCGTAAATTATTTTTAAGGCAATACCTTAGCGATATTTATAGTAAATTTTCTGTACAATAGCACCATTACAATACCATATTTATTACTTACGTGTATTTTTCATGATTGGCAATCTCGAACAGTAATATGCAAATTAATAATAAGAGATAAACCACAACTGATTAATGTAAAATATATTTTTAATAATTCAGTAACGAACTTTTTTTATGATCGCATTATCATTATGCCCACACATTCTTCTTTCCTTATAATAGGATATTATAATCTAAAGAAAATAAAGTTTCAAATTAAATTAAATATACTTTTAATTTTTACACTTTGTTTACCTCGTTACTTAGGTACGTCCTAAAATTTAATCACGAAACGATAGATTTTGATTAATTATTATGAAATATATAATTTAAATTTGGTTGTCGTCAATAAGATTCACAAAATCGTGTTTTATAGAATTGTGACATTTTCACAGTTTAATTTAAAGTAACCGAATATATTTCTACAGAACACTCAAAATTTTGATACAATTTTTTCCTTTTGGTTTGACTCGTGTTAATAATTCTATATTTAAGTCGTCTACAGGAAACGCATTGTCTCTGCGTTCTATTATTATCTATAATTATACTAAGCGTTTCTTTAGCGTCTCATTACGAAATTATTTATACATTATTACATACGAAGCCAACTTCTTAATTTTTTTATTTGCACGAAACCCGATCCCATGACCGTCTATTCGCTACGCTTCTCTTCTCGCAAGAGTCGGCTCTACTTTAAATAGTATGAAGTCGTACTTTCTGTTTCGAAAAACATACGTTAATGGTCAAATGGGAAAATGGTTCATATTGAGTATAATCAAATAATAAATCCAATAAATAAAAATGTATAAAATCCTTTGAAATCTAGGTTTCAGAAAGACGGACAATCTAAGTGCAAAGGGCTTCATTTAAAAATGCTAAATCTAGATCACGCGTCCTTAGTTTCGTAATGCACTTTTTCAACTCGTTTTTGCGAGCAAACCTTGGTGATAACCTTGTTTAACAGAGCGAGGCTGACTTGACATTATTGATCCTCTAACCGAGTTAACACCAAACACTTTTTATAATGAAAATGTCTTTGACTCTATCCTTTCGTAAACCCCGGTTCATCAGCCACGATGATTGTCTATTATAGTATTTAATATAATAATATTAATGCCTCCACGTAAGGGTACGCAGTCGTTCTACTTCGTTCGCAGAAATAAGAGTATAATGTACATACTCTTATTTATTTACATAAAGAATTAACAAGTGGCTGTTAGTATTGTTAAGCAAAATCCGACCTTGAGCCACCTTGCGTAACGCTAGTGATGCGCTAGTGTCGTGATATCGATAAAAATTACCATGTCGATATTTGAACTTGCAATTGCTATAGACAAATACTGAAAATTCAGTAAAAACGAGCATAAGCGTCGTGAAAGCGTAAAAACCGAATCAGTTTTCCATTTCTTTACTGAATTTACTAAAAAAAGGATTTTACGGTGTTTAATCGTGTGTGGGAGAAGCTATACATTTCATTGCTATCATTTATCGTATCACGTACGAAATGTCTAAAGGAAATTCGTTCAAAATGCTGCGTAATGGCATTTTGCGTTTGTTTATTAAATATGAAATTAATGAAGTTATCAAAATCCGTGCACGTTTAATTAATGAATTCGCCTTGAGATCTTAGAAAGTGTTAAGTGCTATTGTCCACAGCATATTAATGAGAACACGGCGGACCTTGGCATGCTTTTAGTTTTCTAGCATTTAGTGTTTACAAACGTTTTTTTATTGGATCTAAGTTGTTTAAGATTAAAGGTCTTCGTTTTTCCTGTACGAGTCATAGAGGCGAAAAACCGTGGTCATACCAACACTTGATATTTAAGCTTTCTTTTCTTCTTTTGTTTGGAAACCAATTACGTACTAGATTTAAAAGCTGTTTTGTTAGTATAGTAATGATTATAATTATAACTATAAATCGACATCATCATCATAGTATCTCTTGCTCTTTACTTATTAAGAATTGATTTGAAACCCTCACTCGTAACAGCTTCTACCTCTTATATCAATCGTTTCTCGACCTTGTACTAGAAACGTTTAGAATATTGTCAAAATTATCGATATGACGCTAATTTGTTGACGACGTTTTTTGCAAATATGACATAATAACTGAGTTCTTAGAAATGTATTCTTTTCAATTCGTTGCATTACGTAAAAAAACTTTACTTGAATATTTTGATTTAAAACAGTTTTAAAAGCACACAAAATAATGACATGCGTTGACACACATTTTAATTTAATTGTTCTTAACCAACCCTTCACTTAAGCGTGTACGCAATGGTCTCTTAGTGGGTGACCAGTGACCACGGATGCTTTGGGTTTGAAGCAAAAAACTTTGATGGATATTAGCGTTTTTCATGTGTGTTCACGTACATTACTCTCCTACATGCTCAAAGTTGTTGCCTTGAAAATTTTGCTTATAATAATATTTGACAGGTGTTACAAGACAAAGTTAATAAAAGTGTCAGTTGTAAGTTATAGTGCAATGTTTTAAAGTGCAAGTGAAAAAGAGAAAATGATCACCAATATGCCTTTTTATGGTAAGTCCCCGAGTGTCCCAATATCTTATGCATCCTTGTACCTATGTTTCAGCTTTCAGTGCGAAAACTAACAGCCAACAATTTCGAGCGATTTTATTTAACATTTGCAGTTAACTTCATAGCTAAACACACAAAGCAAAACACCAAAAAGGTTTTTTTTTAAATTAACATTTCTAGAAGCTAGAAAAAAGTAACTACAGACCTTACCAATCAGCTGTCTTCCATATTATATTGATAATGTTATACCACGCCTTGCGGTCCGACGCATGCGCGTCGTCATGACAACGTGCCATCATGGCCGCGTTACCATAACAACGGGCCAACATGGCCGCGTTACCATGGTGACCCGGTAAGTAGGACGGCTAGCTCTAGGTGACCTGATTTTGTTGCTTTTTATATAAGCATTGTTCAGCCCATATTGAAGGTAGAGATTTTTAAA